GCAGAGCAGCCTGCACCCCAGCTGCCTGAAAGTGGAAAGTCAAAGGGAGAGGAGGATGGAAAGTTGGGCGCCTGGCCTCACATGATCTGTGCTGTATGTTTTTGACTGTGATCCAGAAACAGTGCTCTTCACAGGTGGATCTTTCTCCATAAACAGAGGCACTTTCTTGAGGAAGCCAGTGAAGTGCCCTGTGGCTATGGCTATGTTCTGACTGAGCGGCTGTGGACAGTGGGCTTTCTGATTAGCAGTGGCATAGGCGGAGCATCGGAGGTCCAGTGGCAAAACACATGGACTCACAAATGTTTTGGAAAAGTCAGCGTTGCTGTCCAGTGGGGCTGGAGTGGGCAGCGATAGGTGTTGGCTGTGCTGCTGAGCTCAAACTTTCCCCCACTAGATGAGGTTGTGGGCTGATGCGCGCTATGCACCGTGGCATTACCGATAGTTACCCACTATTAAGGTGTAGGGGAAAGAGAAAAGTCTGTTATGCCGCTAGTCAGTCACGTTGATGACAGGGATGCAGCAAACTGAAGTAGGGTTGGTGGGCTGAGGCAGGCCTGCCTGGGAGAGTGAGCTGCACTCTGGTCCTCGTCCCCTGGTGCAGCCTGTACCTCATGTGGTGCTCAGACGTGGGGAGAGCCTGCACCAAAGCCCCATCCCTGGAGTCCGTGAGCTGCATGTCTGGCTGGAATACAGGGCCCTGAGCACGACCTCCTAATCCCTGTGCCTATGAATGACTTGTCCCCAGTCTCAAACCTCTGCCCAGCCTCCCATGGGACCTAAAAGTCTCTTTACTCAACTGACCTCTTCTTCCCTAGTTTGGGTATGTACTGTCATATTGCTTTTGTAAATAATTTTCAAGTTGACTGGGCTTCTCCGATGGATCTGCAGATGACGGCTTGAAACAAGAGGCTGGACAGAAGAGCACACGGCGATTCTTCAGGCATCTGTAGCTGGGAACACATGTTAGCTTCTGTCCTCCAGGGTGGTCAGGTTCAGGCTCCCTGTATGTGAGTGTGCTAATGTGCTTCGCTGCGAAAATAGACACAGTGACCCGTTTCTCTGTGAGCCAGTCAGATGGGCAGCAAGGCAGCTGAATCTGCTGGAAGTGCTGCTGAGAATTCTTGAATACCAGTTAATGCCTGCTGGACAGCAAAGTTCTCCACAAAGCCAACATGACAGTCCTATTTGAGTCTGACGAGCCATCTCATATCACCAAAGTCCTGCTGCTTTGGTCTGTCAGTTCCCTGACCTCCACCTGCTTTGGATTGTGCCTCTTGGAGCAGCGATACACCTGTCATGTCCCACCATGGCCAAGTGCTGCAATCCGAATAACCAGTGTGTCTAGTCCTGGGAACTGCCCTCCCAGGACCTTCCTTTGCCCTTTGTATCAACAGCACAAGGCAGGGGGTCAAGAGCATGTGGAACTGCTCTGCCCCGACCCCTCCCTGTACCGAATGGCTGCACAGTCCACAGAAAGGTTGTCTTGCACCAGAGGACAAAGGGCAGCCTTAGCTGCTCTATAAGAGCACAGCCGGCCTGTTCAGATATGCAGGCTGTGGTGGAGTGTGCTGTCTGCTTCCAACTGACTCAAGTGGAGAAAGCTTGGTGTGTTCAGAGGAGCCCAATGATCGACAAGGCACCCATGGGGCTGCTGACCGGGGATGCGCTGTTCTCTGTGGCGTGGTCGTGGCCGTGGCCGTGGCCGTGGCCATCTTCCTTCTCTTGGTGGACCTGATGTACCTGCGCCAACACTGGGCTGCTCGCTACCTGCCAGGCCCCGTGCCCGTGCTGGGGCTGGGCAATCTGCTGCAGCTGGACTTCCACAACCTGCCGTACTCCTTCTACAAGGTGAGGGAGCTGGAGTGGAAGCGCACAGAGCCAGGGTGATGTCATAGCAGCAGGCGATGGGCAAAGCCACAGGCTGGACAGGGTCCTGGGCCTGTAAGAGGAAGCAGGTGGAGAGGGCTAGCGGAGGGCACTGCAGAGCCTGGGGACCCCTAGGACTTTGCAAGGATAAAGTGTGGGAAGACACAGGCCAGGAGGTGGGGCGGCACTTGGCAGTGT